TACCCTCTTCACTTTCGTCCACGACCCCCCCCCCCAATCACTTTCCCCTGCGAGACAACCCCACCGCCTCCAACGCCCCGCCATCACCCCCGCTAACCCCGACTGCCAGTTTGCCCATTTTGTTCATAAGCTCGCTATGTACATCAGCAGACTTGAGATGTAAAGTGGAGCACCAGAAAACAGGTAAAACAAAAACAAAAAGCAAAAAGTAAAATAAACAAGTAAAAAACAGGGTGAGAATGTGGAAAATCTGAAAACGTGGTAAAAATCAGGTGAGGGCTTTTCTTTTTCTGAATTATTTTTGAAAACACTGAGTAGGGTTTAGGGAAATGGGTGACTGGGTCACTTGGTACTTTTGAAAACACTATCGGCTGGGTTTAGAGAAGGGAGTGTGTGAGGGGTCAGCCAGTCAGTCAGTAGGTCAGTCAGTCAGTTGACAGCCACCTCTGGTGGATTTTTACAAGAACAAAAACTGCAAAAAACAAACCCCATGAGATGTATACTTCGTTACCCGTGTAACGTGTTACTGGTGACAAAGTCCACTTTTCTGCTCAGTCAATTTTAGCACTTCCAGGAACATATTTCAGCAGCAACTAGAATGTTCCTTCAAGCTTAACATACTTATAAGCGGAACAGATGAGAAGTGGGACACCTTGGAGGAAAATTTACACTTTTCTGCTCTGTCAATTTGTTCCTTTCATCGAGATAATGGAGAGAGCATACTGATAACACTGCCATGCTTTGTGTACTTTGTGACCAATGAAAGAGTGGAATGCTGCTGGAAAATCTTTGCAGCTGTTTTCTTGTACCAGGGTAATAAAAACATCACCTCTATTTCAAAGTTAGAAGAGAGGCAACAGACAAAAGGATTTGACATTGTGAATCACTCCAGTGCCCAAATTGCCATTATGCTATTCCACAAGGACAAGCCCCTGCAATAGCAAAATAGATAATAAAGTTCTCTCAAAGAACTTTTCTCCTCATTCCACAGAGGAGCTCCTATCAAAAAAGATTGCAAATTTAATAATTGAGAACATTGAGTACAAACATTAGGGCAGATATTCTGAACGAGTCAAACAAAATAAAAATTAGAATTAAATAAAGTAAAAAAAAGTAATTAAATAAATAATTACTGTAACCTCTGATTTCCATATAGAAAAAGCACATACTTTTGGAGTCATCAAAGGTGCTTGTGACTGAACGTTTTTTTTTCCCTATCTACCTTTCAACTTTTCTGTAGGAAATCATATACCTTGAACCTCCAAACAAAATCCATGTCTGCACTACTCTAGCACTTGCATGTATGTCCTCTACTTTGCTGCACAGTAAAACAGCTATTGTCATTACTAAAGATATTAAGTTAATATAACTTGACATTACTTAAAAATGCAATTTTTTCCATTAAAACTTTAACATATTTGTTTAACTCATTCAATAAGCAGCAAAAAAAAAAAAAAAAAACTTTTAATTAATATTTTAAGTTCTCAACTTAACATTTTAATTTCTTTAGGCGATTGACCATGCCTCTGTTTAAAATTAGTTGCGCTTAAAATTTTGTTTTGAAAACCACACTGATTGGTCGATATTTGTCATATGACACAAGATGGTCATTTTGCTTGTGATGTTGAGTTTTGCTGAAGTGCAGCAGGACAGAGGCACTACCTGAACCCATCTGACGAAAGAGATAAGTAAAATGAGTAAGTAGATATTTAAATACTTATATACATATCTTAATTGATATAAGTGCAGGGGCAACACGGTGGTCTGTGGGTGGCACTGTCACCTCACAGCAAGAAGGTCACTGGTTCGAGCCTCGGCTGGGTCAGTTGGCCTTTTTGTGTGGAGTTTGCATGTTCTCCCCGTGCTGGCGTGGGTTACCTCTGGGTGCTCCAGTTTCCCCTACAAGTCCAAAGACATGCACTATTGGTGAATTGGGTAAGCTAAATGGTCCTGGTCATCCAGGTTGGAGGTTTACCGTTGGGCTAGCGACCCACCTCTTAAAAATTTGATAATACCAAACACCAACATATGGTGGCTAAATATTAACTTCAATATAAATGGTAAGTAACTAAGTAAAAAATATAAAAGCTAAAAAAATTGAAAGTTTAGTGTATTAGTCATTTAAATATATCTGTACTTAAACATTTAAGTTACCTGTAATTAAACATTTAAGCTAATTCAATGAAGAGACCACATTTGGTTAACAATTTATTGAGTTGTTGATTTCCCATTACTCAAACGAACTGAGAGAATCACTTTCTTAAAATCATTTGAGTAGTCTCAACCTATTACAGTGGGTTTAGTGTGCATTATCTCTACCTACATGGGCAGCCTTCCTGTTTTATTTTTTCACCTGCAAGAACTGAAATTGGCGATTAGGTCAGAAGCTTTTACAGTGACTGAAAGACCTTGACTGTGTCAAGGAATAAAATGATCAAATACCATTGTATCTGCTTTATGACATGCATGGCAGGATCTCAGCAGAGCTCATGGACCCTTCTCTGGAGACAATTCCTTACAGTGGTCAAGGTCCTTTAATCTGGACAGCCTGAAACTTCTCCATGGGGTGAATGGCCAAACCGACCTTCTTTTATTTTATTTTGTTTAATGTAATTTCTGCAAACCAGACTAGACTGAGCTTAGATATGAAGTGAGTCACCAACCCACTCCTCATACATGGATTTAGGAAGGAAAAGGGCTTACTTAAGACCCTTCTACCAAAAACATGTTCTTGGCTGAATCAGAAGAGGCCACAGAATGGGCTTTTTAGATTCAACCTGAAAGCTGCAGATCTCCAGTATTTAAAGCCTGAGAAGTGGATAAACCCATCTTAGGCTCCTTATCCAACTTCCTCCGAAACCCCACAATATACAGCCCACAAGTGTTCTCCTGTAGTCTGTCCAGTCATATCAGTGATATCTTTCAGGTAGATTGACATTCTATGCACAATATTTTTGAAATAACATGATATGTTAAGTATCTTAAAAGAATAATTCCCATAATTCTCACCCTTTACTTGTTTCAGACCTTTTTGAATTTATTTCTTGTTAAATAAAAAAAAGAAGATATTTTGAAGAAAGCTGGAAACCTGTAACCATTCACTTCTACAGGTGTTGTTTTTTCCAACACGGAAGTCAATGGTTGAATTTTCTTCAAAATATCTTCCTTTGTGTTCAACAGAAGAAATAAACTCACTCGTGGAACCACTTGGATAAATAAATTGCGATTAATAATGAGACCAAACAGATCTAACTTAACCTGCGCTGTAAAAAATAAATGACAAAAAGACATGTCAACAAATATTTTTATGTTACATTAACTTAATTTAATTAGTTAATCAGGTTTGCTATACAACATTTTACTAAATTTTTTTAAACAACTTAAATATCTGATTTAAGTTGAGATGACTAGAAAAGTTCATTTAATTCAACTCAAAAAAAATTACCAAGAAGATTCGATAAACTTAATTGCATATACATTTTACTGTATATAGATTCCCTGCATTAATACATATTCATTTTATTGAAACCATGTGACAATGAAAAAGACACAAGCAAGAAGTTTCTTATATTTTAATTGCACATGCAGGCAAATACATAAAGATAAGAGATTGCACAGCATAACACACACTGAAAAAAGTTTTGCATGCAGAACTGTTGCAAACAATTTATTTGTGTTGAATTTAAACAAACAAATTAAGTTTAATAATGTTCAACTTAATTTGTTTGTTTAAATTCAACACAAATAAATTGTTTAGATCCACTTAACTTAAAAAAATTGAGTAAATCCAAGGAATCATCTTTGAATAATTTTTTTCAGTGCAGATGCACAAAGCATTTATCACAGTGTGAGGAGCATAACCGCTGTTCACTCAAATCCAAATTACTTACCAGCTGTTTCACCCAAACACACGAATGAAAAACAATTCTTTTGTCTGCTGTGAGTGGCACTTTGGATGTTTAGATTCCTCTTCTTGTTTTTAATAATACTTGTCTAATAATGATCTATGAATGTGAAACCACTCCAGAGCAAATTATTTAGCGAGGAATGGGATAAACACGGTTTTCCTCTGAAACAGCGAGGGGGTTTAGAGACAGATTGTCATTGATTCTTCATGGAGAGCCAGCAGACCTGAGCACCGGAGCAGTTAATGCGCCTCTGAGAGAGCGAGAGAACAGATCAGACAACCTTTAGGTCATTATGACTCTGCATTCAAATGAAGGCACATCCTATGATCATAAGCCCATTTAAGGAGGGTTAAATAATACTTCAATGCTTGCACAGTGATTTGAACTTAACTTATCTGAATCCAAATGAAATGGGGAAAATTCAAAATAAAAGGAGAATAATCACTGAACACCAAATCTAACATTTTTATACAGTCTGAGCAATAACAAGAGACATTACACTTTTAAATTCTGACTCCATCAAAAGCCAGTGCAAAACAAGAATATTTACTCAACTGCACGTACCCTACAGTATAAATTACATATATATATTAAACATTTCATAAAGTTTACATAGCATGAACAGATTTACATATGAAATATGAAATACATTCATTTTAAACAGTTTTTTCTACCAATTTCTACCAAATGGGAAAATGTGGCTTGTTTTCACTGTAGGTAATTATCTCTCCAATTGCAAAATCCAAAGTTTAATGTGTTTTATATTGTATAGATGTTTTATTAGGTTAAATTGTTTTTTTTATCTTGTGAAGTTTTATGTGTAATTGCTTTATGTTTTACTAATAAAAAAAATAATGTTTCATAAATACAAATGTATAAAATGTTAATTATATAAATTTTAAGAATGTAAAAATATTAATATTAACTTGGAAAAAAGGGAGGTAACACTTTATTTTAATTGTCCAATTGAGTATAAGTAGACTTTCTGCTTAATATCTGTTGCTACTGCTCCTTCAACAGACATTAAACTGACTATAAGAAACTTTGCAAGTACTTGTCAACTTACACTAACCCTAACCTCAACCTAATAGTCTACTTATAATCTAATGAGAATTAGTTGGCATGTAGATGCAATGTAACTTAAATTCAACAAACGGACCATCAAAATAAAGTGTGACCAAAATGTACAGTATGACAACAAGCCCCAGCTTCCTGAACACATCAATATAATTGCATCCAGTTAATAGCAATTGTGCGTAAACGAATGTGGTTTGCAGTAAATTAACATTGGTTAATTGGTGTAATTCTTTATATAATCCTGATTTTTATTTCTGGCAATTGTTTGTCCTGACCGTAATTGTTATAGAGTGGCAGGCTTGATGCAACAGCAACCAACAAAACACTTTCATTTCCATAATTTCAGTACAGTTTTACTTATCCAGTGACTCAAGACTGTGAGCAGCAAACAAAGAGCATTGATTTTCAACCTGAAAAATGCACATACTTCACATTAAAAAGCAACAGAACTTAATCTCTTTACATTTTAAGGTTCCATGGTAAATACAGCAAACAAGGAGAAAACTCATAATTTCAAGTACATATTCGTGCTTTTATAATACACAAATCGCCCACACGTGTAAGATTGTTTGTTGTGAGAACAAGTGAGCAATGTTTATATCTGCTTTTTATTTTGGTGGTTGCACAGTAATACTTATCATATATAGTCGTAGTATATACTTTTACTTTCTATTTGCAGCTACATAGACATCCACAGATTGTTAGACAGGCATACCTGGAAAGTTTATATCTATTACAAACATGTTGATGCCTTTAAAGACAATTTTAAAGTCATTTTCTCACACATTTAAACTTTACATTTAGTGAAGAGCATGACAGTGAACCCATATATGCCACTGTCACTCTGTGTCTTTATTTTGTACCAGTGTGCATTGTACTTTATCTTTCAGTCTTGTAATGTGTGTCTAAATGATGCCTTTTTTTAATTAGATGGCAGTCTAGCAATGGTTTGTCTTTGAATTTCATCTTGGGAGGGTCTTGTACTTTCTTTGCCAACCACACAGTGCATGCAGCCACACAGTGCATGCTATATTACAGTTTCATGTCACCTGTACAACATAAATGTCAACGACAGGCTGTGTTTTGCACAGTTAATTTGAGAATGATTGCACTTGATTTCCCCACAGGCTTTGATCAACAGCTCTTCCGTTTCCCTGGAGATTGTGATATTAAATCACATTGTCTGTCAAAGATTATAATGTTCGATGATTACTAAGGCCTTCTTAATTCTCCAGCAAATGTCTCATCATTATGCATTATTCTGCATCTTTGTTTATTGAAGAGTTCCAAGTTCTAGAATTTGCCTGACAGAGGATCATATTTTTTTACATTGTATGAGTTCCAATCCATCTAAATCCATCCATACATGCATAAAATCCACCGATCATATCCATCTAAATCAAGAGAAACTTTAAGACGGAAAGTTTTGAAGTGATAATCCAGTTATTTCTTAAGTCTGTCGTTACCTAGACATTCCAAAGACGTTTCTCAGACTATAGCAGCAGATGATTTCCTTGAGCGTTTTCCGCATTTCCTGACTCCGGAAAGCGTAAATGAGTGGGTCGATGACGGAATTGCACATGATGAGGATGAGGTACATGTTGAAGTGAGACATGAAGCACATGCAATAAAGGTTTCTGGGACAGGAAATCATGAGGATGAGATGGAGGAAAAAGGGAGCCCAGCAGACGATGAAGATTCCCAGAAGGATAGTCAGGGTGACGGCTGCTTTCATGCTGGCTCTCTGGTGGATGGAGTTGTAGCCTGGCAGAGCAGCAATGCGTTTGACGTGAGAACGTGCCAGCATGAACATGTGGCTGTAAAGGGAGGCCATGAGCGCTAACATGATGAAGAACATGGAGACCAAACACACAATGACGGATGTATTGTCGGAGTAGATTATGAAGACGATTCCACATCCAGTACAGAAGGTCCAAATCCCTCCGATGATGAGCGCAGCTCGACGCACCGTCATGATATTGTGGTATCGCAAAGCATAAAAAATTGTGACATAGCGATCGACAGCTATAGCAAGGAGACTACACATGGACGCCACCACAGAGATGCAGATCATTGAGTCAAACACGTTGTCCATCTGTCTGATGAAATGGTCTTCCACCACAAGCTGGCGATTGGTGAGCAGGTAGATGACTATGGTTTCCCACGCGTTGGAGACGCTCACCAACATGTCGGCTACTGCCAGACTGCAGACGAAGAAATACATGGGCGAGTGTAGGTTTTTGTTTTTTACTATGGCGCAGATGACCAAGATGTTTTCCAGCAGACTGACGATGCCAAGGATGAGGAAAACCTCTGTGGCGATGTTGAGCTGCTCGCATGCTTTCGGCTTGTTGTGGGATGGGGTCTCAGTGGCGTTCAGGATGTATGAAGCAGGACTGGAGTTGACATGCATGCCCCAGAAGGGCAGGGTGGTCTCAGAAGTGTTCATTGTAGACAAGCAGTTGAATAGGAAGGCTGTAGGCTTTTCTGGGGGTCACTGGTTTGGTAGGTAGGGCATCTTTAACCTGCAAAAAAGGAAACAGAGATTGTTTAAAATGTAAAGACTTATAATAGTATGTAATGCAAGTGCAGTTCATTCATGAAAGAGTTTCAATAGTTCCAACACTGGTTACCAACATAATTCAACAATGATTTGATACCTAAATGCATAGTTTAACATTTGGAAATAGCATTACACATTTGTGTGGTTAGAACTACAACTTTCAACTTTGAGTTGCTTGGTGTTTTTTTTTATTATTATTATTATTCATTCATTTTCCTTCAGCTTATTCTACATCTTAAAGGTCACCACAGTGGAGTGAACCTCCAACTGTTCCAGCATATGTTTTACACAGCGGATGCCCCTCCAGCTGCAACCCAGTATTGGAAATCACTAGGGATGTAACGGTATTGTAAAAACCGTCATACCGTAATAGCAATTTTTTTCAATATTACCATAGTCACATGACTCGATAAAACTATAAGTCTTCAGAGAAAATTTGCTCAGGCGAATGAAGCAAACGGGAGGTAGCGGAAACTACAATTCCCATCAGCCCCATCATCTTTTGCGGTCTGTTGTCGCTACAGATCCAGTAATGCGGAAATGGAGTGTGCTGCTTGTAGCGGGGATGAAAAAGAGCTGGAAATGATCGAACCTAAAGCGGGTTTTAAATCGGATGTGTGGAAGCATTTCGGTTTCTCTGGGGGTGTTGTTGTTGTTGCCGCGCGAGTACTGAATAGCGGTGTTGTCGCGCGCGTTCTGATCAGCTGTGTTGTCGCGCGCCTACTGAAGGGCCGGAAGGAGGGTGTGTCGCGTCGCGGGGGCACTTTTGATCATTTTGGAAGGGTACTTTCTATCCAAGACTAAAAAGGGCATGTGCACTGCACAGGTTGAGCCCTATGTGTGCACGTGCCTGCAAGTTGGGGAATACGACTAATAACAGTCATGGGGACTGCAAAATACAGCACACTGTTCAGATTGATGCAGACATTGACTTGTACCGCAAAGAGACTTCTATCTCACTCATGGCTTGTCCTCTCAAGTGGGGGAAAGACAATGCACACCGTTACCCACTGCTGTCAACCTGGGCCAAGTCATATCTCTGTCCCAGAAACCTCAGTCCCAAATGAGAAGGTTTTTTTTCTGTTGCAGGGGACATTGTAAATGCCCAGAGATCCCAGCTTTTACCAGATTATAGTTATATGATAATTTTCCTTAAAACCCATCTCTATCTAAGTGAGTGAGTGAGGGATTAAATGTTGAATATGATGAGTTTTCAACAATATTAAATTGAAACTATATTTTTTTTACATGGTTTAATAGTTTTTTGTTATTAAAATTGAAACATTGAAGTTCCTGTTTCAAAGCTTACAGATAGATGGCTAATTTGTATGTCACTGACACTTTTGGCACTTTTTTGGCGTATTTTCATTAGTTTTGTTTTTCCTGTAAATGATTCAATAAATACCGTACCGTGAAATTCTGACACCGTTACATGCCTAGAAATCACTTATCCACACTCATTCATTTATACTCATACACTATGGACAATTTAGTTAATTGAATTCATGTATTGTGCATGTCTTTGGAGGAAAGAGGGAAGGAAACTCACACAAATGCGAAGAGAACAGCCAAACTTCATACACAAATGCCAATTGGCCCAGTCGGGACTCGAACTAGTGACCTTCTTGCTTCTTTTTTTTTTTTTTTTTTTAAACTTTTGAACATTTGAAATGTTAAGTAATGGACTGAAGCAAAATAACCATACTGTACATGTGCATATGTTCTCTAGTTGTCAAGTCATCTTGATTTCTATGGTGCTTCTTACAATGTAACTTGTGTCAAAACCTCTTCATCGAGCTGAACTGAAAATTAATAATAAAAAGCCACAACAGTATTTCAGATTAATTATTTGCAGCAATAATCTGTTTATTATTATTCTAAAACTATTTCGATTTTAATTAACAGAAGCTATCATTCGACATTCTGAATGATACTAATGACAATTATAACCAATGTTGTTACAGCAAGGGCGTTTCTACAAATTTCCTACTTTTTTGATAAACAGTCATGACACACTGCAGTTTTTATTCAGGAAGTGCATCCCAGAAAGCTAGGGGGTTGTGGTTGCTCCAGTCCATTGCTGTTTGTTTATAACTGATTGTGAAAAACATCTATCCTCTAAAATAGTTTTTAAAATAGTTCTTAGTTCTTAAGCATTTCATTTCACAAAAGACCAATAAATCAGATGAAAGTTCCATATATTACTGAAATGTACCGAAAGGACAAGATCTCGGATACCAGCGACCGAAATGAGTTTTCCTTGCAGGGTGGCAGGGTGCACCCTTATGGATAGGGTGAGGAGCTCTGACACCCGGGAGGAGTTCTAAGTAGAGCCACTGCTCCTCCAAATTGAAAGAAGTCAGCTGAGGTGGCTCAGGCATCTGATTCATATGCCTCTTGGACGCCTAACTAAGGAGGCATGTCTCACCGGGAGGAGGTCTCGGGGAAGACCCAGGACACGCTGGAGGGACTATGTCTCTCGGCTGGCCTGGGAATGCCTCGGGATCCCCAGAGGAGCTAGAGGAAATGTCTGGGGAGAGGGAAGTCTGGGGTTCTCTCCTAGGGCTGCTGCCCCTGCGACCCAGCCCCGATGAATGAATGAATGAATGAATGTGCTTCTAATTCAAATAGTTTTTTTAAATTATTATTATTCTTTGTGACATTCAATGAAAGCCTAAAATAAAATAAATTATTTATTTAGTACGGATATAAAGAATAGTCACTGATGTATATAAAAAAAAATATTAAAAAGTATTCTCTTTTAATTTAAAGTTTCATTGTACAAATTTTAAAAAGAGGATTTCGGAAGAACAATTTAGGTGACAAAAATAATTTGGTCAACAGATTTATTTTTTAAAAGGTTGCACTTTATATTAAAGTACCATTTAATTACCATTTACTTACATTTAAATGAGTCATTTAGTACAATGTTCTTATTATGTACATATGTTTTCACATGCTTATAATATAATTATCTATATTTAAATATGTAAATTTGTAACAACTATAATTTGTTTCTGTGATTACACTTTTATTTCCACTATGGGCCCTTCCTAACTATACCACCAAACCTGGCCCTAACCTTACTCTTTTCCCACCTCAAGGGCATCATAAGGGTTGTGCACTTCAATATGAACACAATAAGCACACTGTACCTTTTTTGTTTTTGAGTACATATTCTAGTAATTAACGCAATTTAAATAACCTTTTGTAAATGAAAGGTGAAATAAAAGATTGTATGTGGAAACATCTCGCTGAAATTCTTTATCCTGTCAATTAGTCACAACATCAGCCGATTCGAAAGTCACTCAATTGAATTGGCGTTATCAGTGGTTATCAGTTGATTCCATGAACGCAGAAAATGGACTTGCGTTCTTGTAAGGATTGGTCTTGCCAGGTGTCCTCGGAAGAATGAACTTGGTAGACCACAAGAACAGAGAACGCGTTCTGCGAGAAATGAGATGCTAAGTTCCTACTGATGGTCAAGTGACCTTCACGCATTTTTAATGGAAAATGATTTAAACATTACAGCATTCATAAAACGATTTATTGTTTTTCCCCTTTTCAATATATATATATATATATATATATATATATATATATATATATATATATATATATATATATATATATATATATATATATACTATGCATAAAGACTTTACAAATATATGCTGTACAATATAAAATAAGATTTTAATATTCAAAATTCAGCAAATAAACACTCTTAATGTGTTTATCCTTTATTAAGATTTTCATGGTAATGTTCATATTAATCGTTTCATTTGGGGAAACTTCTGAGATAAACAAGTTATATCTCTGAACTTTAATAATTAACCTTTATAAAAAGCTGCGCTCCCAACCTCCAGTCACAATGACTTCTGGGACTTCTAGAGTGAGTTCGGTGCTCAAGTCTGCATCCATGCGTCCTCGATAACAAGAATAAATCTTAAAAATTTCATGCATCCTCTGTTTTTGCAGTCTTGAGTATTGGAACTGAACTTTGACAGTTATTGATGACGTTGCACAAGAACATGAGGACATAAGATCACAGAAGAATGCATATTGAGAAACAGCCATTAACATTGCTGACTTGTTCAACTACTGTATATGATGTTCAGTGAAAGCTGCATAAATGACACGACTCTACATTCTCTCGCAAATGTTTGCCTTGTTTGAACTCGTTTATTTGTCTACACTCAAAGCTGCTTGCAGCTGAACTAAATTCCTTTGCAAATAATGAGTTTACAAAATATTTGAAGATCCTTGTGTCTAATAGCTTCTGTCTATTTAATTAGTTGCTTATGTGGCAAGCAGCCGTGTATATTACATTAAATGAGATACATTCTGTCAGTTGTTACCTAGTTGCTAGGGTATTCTGAATGGTTGCTAGTTGACTGCTTATTATTTTAGGTGAAAGGTTCAATGTTTGTCAATCAGCCGCAAACCATCTTTAGTAAAGTAATTGAATTGTTCTTTTTTTAACTATTCGGCAATAATTGCTAACCTGATCACTTTAAGAAATGCCCAGTGTTCTTTAACAAACCTTGAGATCTGATGAATCCTTTATGTACATAGCAGAATGTAAAGCAGAATGTGAAGTCTTTATTTAATTTATTCCCATTCTCTTTTTTAGTTTATCTCAGCAAGGCTGAAAATACAAGCATGCACACACACACACACACACACAAAACCAGCATTGGAATATTAGAAATATTATGAAAGCTTTTTTGCAAAGGTTTAATTGCTTAAAAAAACATATCTTAAAATGCAGTTAATTCATAAATCATTATGTAACCAGAAGAGTGACGCTGACAACAGGTCCACATGCAGGTTTATTAGCGAGGTCAGGCAAGCAGTGGTCAATACAGGGGCAAACAGATGTATGAGGGCAATCCAGAGTTGAAGTCAAATTAAAAGGCAGATGGTCACAAGGCAGCCAGCAAACAGGATAAAACAAAT